TACATACATACATACATACATACATACATACATACATACATACATACATACATACATACATACATACATACATACATACATACATACATACATACATACATACATACATACATACATACATATATTCTACCATAGTGCGAGATCAAACATGGACCCAGATAGAATCTCCCCCCAAAATCCGGGACCCAAGATGACCGTGGCGTAGGTGCCAGACTTTGTCCCGGCGCTGCCATCGCCCCCAGCCCTCCCAGCAGCAGTCGGGGACCTCAGCGCAGGTGGCCCCTGGGGATCCCTGGGGTGGGGAAAAAGTGCGGATGTCACCCAGCAATTGAGGACCTAAGTACCCGGCTTGGTAAACATACAAAAAGCTATTGAAAATGGCCATAGAAATAGTTGATTTACCCATACAAAATGGTGATTTTCCATAGTTTTGTGTATGTTTACCAGAGGGTAACATTGAGCTCAAAATTGGGGCTTGGATGTGCAAAATGAGGAATTCGATCAAGTTCAATCCAGAGAGTAAGAGTTTGACCCGCAGAAGTGGTGATTGAAAGTCAGATTGAGGATTTAGCCAGCATGCTGGGGCACCCTATGGCACCTACCATACAGTAGTTACTGTTTCTTTTCTGGCCTATTAGATGACCACTATGACCAAGATCCAAAGTGCATGGCCGCAGTTTTGAGGTTCGCTTGAAGTGGCAACACCTTCTGCACGCGCGGCAGCTCAAGGTGCCAGCCTTTCAACGCGCACCTCCGAGTACCAGGGATAGAATCTACTATTATCATCTATTATCATCGCCTTCATCTTCAAGAACCTCGACCGCCTCGACCGGCACATAACCTGCCCGTCGCGTTTCAGGCGTAGTACAAGCTATCTCTGACACGTGCCTGTAACGTCTCATTCCATTGCGCATTTGATATTTGTTTGATACCAATATATTTTATTGGGCCTTATAACAAGGTCACACCTACATCAATCTGGGTGAACTATAGCAACCCCACTGGCCGATCTCAATATCAATGACGGTTTACATACCTTGAATCATCCCAAACAGTTCTTGTTTCCGCCTGGAACTATCATCATATTCTGAGATGTGATTTGCTCAAAATCATCACATCTCCATCTTTGGAGATTCCCCTTGCCAACAATCCTTAGTGCTGTTGGTGGTTTCTGGGATGATCCAACTTTTCTAATCCTTGACTGGCTGGCTCAACATTCAGATAAAAACAAGAGAGATCTCCCAGTGGTTGAAGGGAAAGTTTGCAGGATAAGCCATGACCTTTGCTGGGAACCTGGTCGTGGTCTCCTTACAATCATGGATCAGAGCCGGGAAGTCTGTAGGTGGAAGCCACCTTTCAACCAGCAGCACCATGGATGATGCAGGTGCCACTGGTTGTTGGAATGGTTTGCACCACCGAGAATGATGGGTCTCATGTTTTTTTGGATCAGGCTTTATCATATAGATGATGGATAGTTGAGAATCATATATATATATTATATATATGTATAAATCGAGGCCGCAGCTTCTGCTACATCGAGCCTAAGAGAAAAAACAAGATACACACCAAAAACAACACATATGGTCGTCAGCAATTTTCTGCTCCATTTGGGCTTTAGGAGGACCACAGCATGTCTTCAGACTTACCGGCTCAGAGACTCCCAATCTTGGGGTACCCTCTGGTAAACATACAAAAAGCTATTGAAAATGACCATAGAAATAGTGAGTTTTCCCATTAAAAATGGTGATTTTCCATAGCTATGTTAAATTACCAGAGGGTAGTTTGTTTTGACAATTGGTTGATTGATATCGGATCGAACACCCAACATTTTCTGCTGAAAACCTATGGGTTTCCAGCGACATTTCCGTAAAAAAACACTTTCGTCGATTAAAGGCTGCATATTTGCTCGGCTCACTTCCGGATTTGGGGTGGGTAAAACATCATTAAAGCATTTGCTCGATTGATCGTGGCCACTTCGATTTCCAGTGTTTTTTCCTTAGATGGGTTTACAACATATCCCAACACCAAACACCTTTTGACAGGACAAGAACCACCAACTTGTTTCTGCAATGGTTAGGCCACCCCCGGCGCATTCAGATGCTCTTCAGGATGGGGCTGGCCGCGAATGTTTGGAGGAGACGAAGGGCGTGGCCCACATCGCGCTGTCTGCAGACTTGGCCTGGGCCTCCGCCCTGGGTGACCTGGGTGAAGGTTTCTAGGGTACAACCTACATTCCCGAAATGGGATAAGATCTGGAAAACTTCGACCTGCAAAAATTCGCTAAGCTCAACCTTACAAGGACTTCACTTTCATACATGATGGTTTACTTTATTGGGAAGGATGCCAAGAACGGCCCTTTCTTTCTGGTATTATAGTTGGTTCAGATGGATTGGGATCAGATGGTCAAATACTCGGCTGGCTTTTTTGCAACCCTCTGCGGGGTGATGATCCCAGTTTACGTTGCCTAAGTTGGGCTGAAATGGGGTACCCAAGTCCAAGAGATTCTCAACATGTTGCCAAAACCCCCAAGTGGTGATTTTTTGTGGGCGCTTAAAGTAAGATGCTTCCGCGATTTCGCTTTTTAGTACCACCCAAATGGCACATTTTTTGGGGTTGAACACAACAATCCCTTCATTAGATGATGGGAAAATCTGTCGGAAAACTTTGGAGACCTTCCAATTATTTTTTATCTGGTGAAAAGCCATGTTTTTTTCTTGAATTTCTCTTCAATCCATGGAAATCACAATCTTCCCAATTTTGGTGCAAGTGAAGTCACCATTGTTTCCTCGTTTAAACTGTTTAAACATGTCTAAACTCCTCAGTAAACCCTGGTTCAACATGGTTCAACAACTTCAGCTTGCGCCAGTCACGGGTCACGTCATGTCACGTCCTAGGCCCAAATCGATGGTCTCATTGTGACGCTCTCAAGCTCGATCTCCGCGACGGCGGACGCGCGGCGGGGGAGCCCACGAAACCCATCGATTGCCAATTGAGCCATTAAAAATACCATAGTTGATAGGTTATCATGGGGATTATACTATCTGGTTTCATGGGGATTTTAATTTCTCATAGGGATAACTACTAACCAGTATAATGAGATCTATATTCATCTGTATTCTTATGTTTTTCTAGGTGAGACATGGTGAGACTATATTATTTGATTTGATCAATGATCTATCGTATATCAATATATTGAGGGATGGTCATGCACACAGACACATTTTTTTGAAGATCATGTTAAACTCGCTGTTTCGAGTTTGGTTAATAGTTTGGTTAATAGTACACAGATTGAATCATAGAATTGGAAGATGGGAAAATTTACAGGAAACCCCTATATTTGATGGTAAAAACCATGGTTTCCTGTAGATTTTCCCTTAAACCAATCCATTGATTCTTTGGGAATTCCGGGTGGACTTCTGAACCCCAGCAACGAGGCGCCTCTGTTTCCACACTTTCGTGCTGGAACAGCAGCAGAGCTTCATGCTTGAGGCGTGTCAGGATGGACCCTTTGGAGGGGTCAAGATGGGTCAAGATGGGTCAAGATGGGTCATTTTTTTCCTCCCCCAAAAAATGGTGAATCCTATAATTGCATTCTCAACATGGAAACATGTCTTGGTTTGAAGATGTTTGAAGTGTAGCATTTTGGTCCCTGCCACTTGAAGTCATCATAGATGGAAGGTGGCCAGGCTCGAACCATGTCGAACCCCCCAAAAATGGGCGATTCCATGGTCCATTTTGCTGGACGATCTGCTGCCAGGCACTTCAGTGCGCTTTCGGAGATGCATTGAAGATCCAAAGCACAGGCCCAACGGAGACGACAACATTTGATGGTCAGTTGCTCCCAAAGACGCCCAAACCAAAAACGGGCCCTAAATCTGGTACCATTCCCTTGTCTGTGCTTCAGGATTGTCGGGTCAAATCTTTGGTGCCTTCACTCTTGGGGAAGCTCGACTGTTGATCCACAGTTTGCAACTGAGATGGGCTTTCAACTTGGCTGAAGCTGGGATCTCCAGGCGCAGTCTCTGAGGTTTGGATCCTGAAACCATTTGGAGGGAGGTGGGCTTGAACTCCAGCAGGTGCGGGTGAAAAACAACGGCAAAGTGGGCCAAAAACAAGTGCAAAACCATTGGGGAGGTTTTGGCATTTCATGGGGATCGAGGCAATATACAACTGGTGGGTGGATTCAAACATGTTTCAAATACTTGGGATTTTTCCATTGAGTTCACGGATGATCAAGTCATTGTTTGGGGGGTGGCTGAGCTATGCTGAGCTCAGTACAGTGCCAAGTGTCTCCGGGACTCCATGATATCAATGTGGATATCCCAAATCCTCTACTGGTCTAGCTTGGCGGAAGGGCATGACTTGGTTTCGACTAAAGCCTCCGTTCTATGCCGTTCTATGCCCAAGTATGGCATCAGCCCGGGACACATAGATTGATTTTTCCAGCACTTGGCTGAGTATATCCTTGATTGTCAGTCATAGTCATACCCAATGTTTATCAATAGATACGTGCAAGCTAGGTACAAGATGGTTCAAGTCAAGATCCGGTAAGATTGTACTTGAACAGTTGATCAAAGTTGAACAATGTTGAACATCATCACCAACGGCAACCCCTCCAGGGACGGAATCCGTCAGGATGTTGAACCTTTGTTTGAACGCCACTTTACCAGCTAGAATACCCATGTGATTAGAGTATTCTGGGTTATGTCGCCCCATTCAAATGATCCTGACATTGAGACTGCCAAACCGATACACACATGTGTATATTACTGTATAATATTATATATAATTACGCGTATATATGCTTATATGCGTATATGATACTATACACATACAGAACCATACATAACAATTACATATGTATATATATATATATATATATATATAATATTATATACGTGTACATGAGTACATGGAGATGAACATCTATGCTTACGTCACCCTTTATCCCCACCGACAATGTCGCTGTTTCTTCGGCAGCTTGAGGCCAGGTGCAGTGATGCTGGGAGAGACCGATTTGAGCAACTCCTTACGTGCCATCCTCAAGGGCGGGCCAGGTGGGCCAGGGGTCGTAAGGAATCTCTAGCGCCGGCTGGACTTAGAGGGGTTCAATTTGACATGTGATATATTTATGGTATATTATGAATTATGTTGTATGTTTCGTATACATATTGTAATTATATATAGTTGTATATATATATAATTATATATATATATGTAATTATAAATTATATATATATATAATTACATATTTATATGGGTGATATTAGTTAGGATGGCCCTCATACTAAACACCCCCCAGAAACCAAAGGCCCGGGTCGGCTGCTGTTCCACGAATGGCAGGCTCTGACACAGGCAATTTGGGTGCCGTGATGGCTCCTCAGGACTCGATTGAATACCGCGAATCGTTCCAAGGAACCGGTGAGTTGTAACAGTTTCAGTCATCTACACTTTGGGGGGATTCATGGCCATGTTTACCAGACTCGAGGCTTATATATATATATACATGCACATACATATATATATATATACATATGTCGTGATGTGGATGGAAAACCCCTCTAGACATCGCCGCAAATGCAAAGTCTAAGGCACAACTTCGCACGTTTTTCGCTACATCAACTTCTTCCACATCTTTCAAGGGTGTGGCCATGCAGCAGAGTCAAACTGAGGGCAGGATGCCAGCTATGTAAAGAGCCGTTTTCAGAATGCAAGCTTGAGATGCTTTGCAGGCCATGAACACATTTTATTATCATATATATATATATATTCATTGTCATATAATCATATCATACATATATCATATATATATATATACACATATATACACATACATATCTTCACTTTTCTTGCTGATCTCAACAACCTTTTGGGACTTCACAGGGGTCTTTCGACCCCGCTGTGGTTCCTCGGTGATTCTTGGTGTGCCGTTCGGTTCGCGCAGGTCGTTTACCTGGACGAGGATGTGGTGGTCAAGGGAGATCTCCTGGAGCTTTTCCACGTCTCAATGAGTCGCTCCATTGGAGGTTTAGTCATGTTTATTGGGTCACTAACTAGTATGTATTGTATTATAGTACATATATACAATGTTATTGGGTCCCATACAATACAATACATACAATACATAATACATACAATACATAATACATACAATACATAAATTATAGTTTATTGGGTCACTAACTAGTTATGGATAGTTATGGATTATGACCCAATAAAACATGACTAGTGGGAATAAACATAACTATCCATAACTATCCATAACTAACCATAACTAACTGTTTTAGTGGGGTGAACATAGCCATCCGATTCCTGTGGTAACTGATTGTGCCACGCCTCTAGAATCCATATGATTTTATGGATCAGTTGTATTCCCAAAAATATTCCTTATCCTGATTACGGTGAATCTGCATTGATGCAAACAATCTTCTGGGGTTAGGTCATGTTCCACTTCTCGACTTGAAGTTATTTGCTTCTTGGAAAATCCGGAAGTCCTTTGGATACCTTTGGTCAAAATCATCGAAAGTCCTAGACCTTTTGATTGATTTATTATTTGCTGTGATATCTGATTCATGAACTAGCCCCAGAACATTATTAGCTAGTTGAACAAAAATACCAAGATTTACCATTGTTCAACTAGCTAATAATGTTAATAATAATAAAGCCTATATGAATAGTTATTATGTTATTAAAAAACATGCTTTTATTGGTTTGTTAATAACAGAGCCCATGGGATTCCGTCAGACATCCGTCAGATCGCCGTGGCCGCCGTGGGCAAGGCACTGACAACGGGGCGCCCGGGACGGTGGCCGCGGTGCAGCGGAAGAACCAGCCGCTGCGGACCTATGTGGATGTGCTGCAACCGGCCGGGGGCCTCAGTCGGAAACTTAGGTAATAGAGATTCTGGATGACTATGGATGGTTAAGGTGGGTATATTAATAATATATATATATATGTATATGATATTTAATATATATATATTATATTAATTTGCATATTATCTATATTATATTATCTATATTATATTATCTATATTATATTATCTATATTATCTTATCTATATTATATTATCTATATTATATTATCTATATTATATTATCTATAGTTAGATGGAATTATAGACTCATAACTAGGGACGCCATTGTAGGTGTGGCTCAAAAACAGTGTGTCATTTTTGCGATTGGACCGTTGGGGAACCAAGGATTCGACCATGGTGCCATTGGTGGGATGACCATTGGCGCCATATGTCACTACATCTACCCATCCAACATAATCTACTTGTATCTACTTGTATCTACTCGGACACAAATTCATCTAATCTAACCTAAATATACCTATATAATTCAGATCCAATCAAAAAAAATTATCACTTTGACGATGGCACATTGGTTACCTGCAGTTTTTTTTTGTTCCGTCTAAGGCGGTGCCGCATTGGTTACCCAGTGAAGCTCCGTCCTTCAACGTTTCTGGGCCTCGTTGTTGGTGAAGGCTGGGACTATGAAACATGGTCATTTTATATATTGGATCGGTGGAAAAGATAACAGGAACCGAACCCCCTTTTTTAATTTCATAGGACATCACATTAATATAACATGATATAACATGGTTTTCTTTTTTTTTTTTTACCAGAAAACCAATGAAGAACTGCTTTCACTTGGTTTAGTCAATTCACCAAGTTGCTGCATGGATATTCCCATGGATATTCCGTGGATATCCGCCCCCCATTTCGGTGACCCCAAAAAAGGTATAGGATATTACAGATATATGATATATGATTAATGTAGATAAATCTAGAATATAAGTATAGATGAATATAGATAAATATAAGCTATAAATATAATATAGATTAATATAAGTATAGATGAATATATAGATAAATCTAGATGTATTACAGTAACTAGAGGATATTACATAGGTTGCATCCCCATGGCACACCTAATTGCGAAAAAGAGTCTATCTGCGAATAAAAGAAAAACACCGTAATAATATATATATATAAATATTGAATCAATATTGAACTTCAATATCTACAGAAAGCTAACTGATATATTTTGTTTATTTATTGTTTTTCACAAACACAATGCCAACTAGTATCAACTAGTAATTATATATACTGGACGTTTCATTAGTAATTATCATATCAGGGTTACTGTAGAACAAGCCTGTGGCAAAGAATGGCCTTCATGCCGACATGACGCTTCGTCTACTGGAAGATTTGAAAACAAGCAAAAACAGGAAAGCATACAGTATAGTGAAACAAGTCTGCATCTCGGCAAAATTGGCAAAAGATATGAATAAAAGTTGCAAATTGATTCAAGAAGAACCATATTTAATGCAAGAAGAAGAATGCTTTGCTTTTATATGTTCCATTTCAATTGCCACAGCTTTCTTTTTCCCCAGCAGGTAAAGTTTCATTTTTGTTTCGCAATCAAGATCCTTTTTTCCGCAATTCGGCAACCACGTCTTTTCGCTTCTTTACAAACATACTCTGGTTTACAAAAACCATTTTTTTGGGGGGATGAGCCAACCGTGTTCACCAAGGGTCGGGTACAGGATTTTTAGCCATTCAAAAGCCAAGGCTGGGGTCATGGTCATCGATCTCAACCGCTGGAGGCGATCCAGCCATATCTCCTGTGGCAATGGTGGTAATCTGTGGTGATTTTTGACATAGCTATGGTAACCATAAAGGCCCATAAAGGTTCGATGTTTTACCATGTTTTACCATGTTTTACCCATTAGAAACATATGATTTTCCATAGCTATGTTTAAATACCAGAGGGCATTGAGTAGTAGGGGAAGGGATTCTGCGTCAAACATGGTGACCAGGGAAGCCAGGAAAAAATGATGTTCTCAGACTTGGCTTACTTTACATGAATCCCCTATAGTGTATCATAGCATATTGTAGCTATGGATCTCAGCCTGGTCAACGCCTGATGGCTCGTCCCATTGGGAGGCAACGTCACGCTTCCCAATTGGTAGCTGAATGGATTGCCATGAATGCGCCAGATGCTGAGGGACAAGTGCCGGGAGTGCTAGAACACATCCGATTTCGGGAGTTCAAATAGAACCAATGCTCAACAGAGAGGGACCCAGGGACCACACTTGTTAGGTTTGAAGGCCGGGTTCCTCAAAAATTCTTGTTGTCAGCAGGGTGACCAGACCTCGGCTGATTTTTTGATCCCACCCAGGCGAAGGCGTTTGTGGCTGCACGGTTCGCAGCCGCCATTGCTGCTGCTCTTTCATGACGAGGCCACAGCAGCTGAGATTTGGGACGGTTCTGTCATGTTCTGTCCCCATTTTTGTGTCCGAAATCTCTGAAATCTGGATTCGCATTCCTTGGGTCTCTGCTGGTCTGTTTTTTGTTACATGCCCACGTTGTGTTGGTCAAGAACTTACTCCAGTTGTGATTGAAGAGGGTTGGCCACACTTATTGAACGTCCACTGGGTACATAACTCACTCATCTGCCATATGTCTATTTATATATACATATATATATATGATGTATATCTGAAGTATATCTACTTGCATTCATTCCCAAACAGATGGAAACGATTAAACGACACGTCGCTATTATCGCTATTTTAGAAGATTGTTACTTTTCTATCTTTTTCAGGGTTGGATAACTCATTGATCCCAAAAAGTCACTGAGTTTTGTAGGTCAATGTTTGTGCAGGAAAAATCAGTGTCGGTTTCACCGAAACAGCCCTAAATCAATACTCATTATACAAGGGAATGATGTAAATAGATCCATAATCATACATAGAAAAATGATATATTAAAAATATACCATATAATATATATATATATATATTCATGATACATAATTTAAGTTTTTCATTTAGATCATAAGTTGATAGACACATTGCGTGGTCCCAGGTGGTCTCCCTTCACTGGTCCTGGAACGTGGATGGCCTGGGGCATCGCCTAAACTACCCCAAGAACGTGTCGATGCCTCAGCGCCTCAACCATCTCCATTGTTTTTCCTCTTTTGGGGTTTTCATGATCACCTCACTGGGACCTCACTGGAATGATATGGCAATTTTTTTTTTGGGATAACTGGGACCCAAAATAGCCGTGTATACTGGAATGATATGGGAATTCTAGGGATAACTGGGACCCAAAATAGCCGTGTATACTGGAATGATATGGGAATTCTAGGGATAACTGGGACCCAAAATAGCCTTACTTTATTTATTTCAGCGAGCTTAGCGAATGATTCGAAAATTTAGATATTGGAAAATCTACACCACGCTGGGCTGGAAAATCCACCCTTCATTGTTCGAGAACTTGAACATGGACACCTTTCATGAAAATAGGTCATGGACACCTATATTTTCCCCATATTTTCCCAAGGTTTTTGGATATTTTCCCCATATTTTCCCATGGAAAACATGAACATTGGATATTTTCCCATATTTTCCAATGTTTTTTCGGAGAAAACCTCCATTTTCTGCCGAGTTTTCCCAGCCACTGATGGTCTGCTGTGGCACCAGGCTGAATGAAGCAAAGGCGCAATCCCCAGTTGAACTAAGCAATCATATATATATATATGTATATATATATATATATGTATATATATATATATGTATATATATATATGTATATATATTTATACACATATGTATATATATATATATGTATACATATATATATATATATATACACATAGATAGATATGTGAGGATATACATGACATAAACATACATAAACGACATGCGTGACATACATGAGATATATGTTATATATGTGTATATATCGTATCACACATAGTATCAAAAGTACAGAAGCCCATCGCAGCACACCTGGCGCCGCTGCGAGGTTCTTCATTGGACGGGGCCTTTAAAACCCTGGCGTCATCATGGTGTCAACCGACTGCTCTGGGAACCGCATACGCGAGAGTCTCTTGGCCGCCGTGACGGTGACGAAAGCGACCGGGGGTTGCACCAAAGAGGCGTGTCTGTATCACAAAAATATGGTGATATTAGGGGGATTATTATGGATTATTATGGATTATTATGGATTATTATGGATTATTATGGATTATTATGGATTATTATGGATTATTATGGATTATTATGGGATAATAAACGACAACCCAAATAAAACATCATTGGAGATGGGGATTTAACATACAAAATATGGGGATAACAAACAACATCCCAGATTTGGGACAATTAGTAAGATGTGGGCAAAATGGATCATCATCATGTGGTATATCCAATAATTTCCAATAAACTCCCAATGTTTGATGGTGAATACCAAGCCTACCAAACCATTTCTGATGTCATTGGGGATGGTTTATTATTGGGTTTACCACATTATCTCTTTTCTGTATATTAAGGGGTTGGCATCATGGCGTAGCAGCAAGCATGCTTTTTTGCAACAACTCTTTGAAGTTTCTTACATGATCGTGATTCACTTGTCCATTTTGAAGAAACTTCTTGGGCCGAACTAAGCACTGCCATTTGATGCATCTGCTTTTAATCATGCAGTAGTGGTCCTGAATCAAGCATTGGGCACTACTGCTTGAATCAGGTACTGTCCGCGCTATTCCTTCAGAGAGCATACGACAACTTGCAGACCAGATAGCTGGTTCTGTTGAGCCGGGGCAGCTGTACATAGTAATCCGAAATGGACTGTCCTTTCTGGGCTTTGCCCTCGGCTGTTCAGACGAGGTCTGATAGGTTTGATAGGTTTTGAGAGAAAAGACCTGCAAGTCAGCCGTGTTTCAAGATTGTTCAAACCTCCATGTGCATCTCAGGCTTTGAAAATCATCCCACTTGGTACTTGCCATTTTGGGGAAGATTGGATAACGCTGAGACTCCATGGTTACTCTCCACTTAGTTAGGACGATGGTTTTGTCATACCGCTTGGCTGCGTTGCGCAGCCATCTTGCGTCAAAAGTTTGGAGCAAACTATCGCAAAATGGGATGGTATACCAAAACTAATCAGTCAAACATGGTCAAACATGGTCAGAATGATCCAAATTGACAGAGATTGGTTTGAATATTCATTGACAGAGCAGTGGATGATTGAGCAAGATACTTATCCAAATTGGATCAAATTGGTATATTCAAGTAAACAAACATAGCTATTGAAAATCACCATTTTTAATGGGACAACTCAACTATTTCTATGGCCATGTTCAATAGCTATGTTTGTTAGTTGACCAGGCCGGGTATATTCGAATTATACCACTAGCTGATAGAGATGATCATGAAGGCCGATGGGATGCGACTGGCGAATAGATATGTATATATATATATAGAGCGAACTAATTAACGTTTGGGTTGATCAACCAATGATATATATATATAATATAATATTTGGGATATAATTATAACTTTCAAGCTATAACTATAACTACAGCTATATCTATAACAATAGCTATATAACTATACAACTAAACAGTAACTGTAGCTATATAACGCTAGCCTACAACCATTCTTTTTTTGCCAAGTAAAATGGTGATGCAGCCAATGATAGTTAAGGCCTTGCTAGTGAACGGTAGGTTCATACCCAATTGATCAATTGGTTGCTCAATGTACAGTTTTAAGCCTAAGAAAACCAGAGTTTGTTGGATGATACAACCGCATTGGTCACATGGGAATGGGTCAATACCTATAGATACAGTTTATTAGGGGATGAACATCTATAAATCCCAGCTATGACTTGGGGTTCACTAGGTACCAGGGTTTTGACCCATCCCCACATTGCTATTCTTGCGATTGTTGGCTTGTCCCGTCGACTTTGACATCTCTGGTGTCCAGGCGTTGTGCTGATCCTGGATGTTGCTCGGAATGATGATGTTTTTATATTAATGTAACTATGAGGTATAACTAACATAGCAATGGAAAATCACCATTTTTAATGGGAAAATCCACTATTTCTATAGCCATTTTCCATTGCTATGTTAGTTCACCAGAGGGTAACTATGAGGTATAACTAAGATGATCTTTGAATATCATCTTTTTGGGGTTAAATCCCCGGAATTTACGATCTTTTTGGGGTTTTTGTTGAAGTTTGAAGTAATTTTTGAAGTTATAGAAGCAACTTATCCAATACAATCAGCTGCTACCTCGCGAACCGTAGCACGCTTCGCCGAGGTTCTAAGAACCATGGCCGATGGGTCAAAATTTTCAACCACCAAAAAACATGGATTTAAACTTCAGTCTAAATTTGTACATATAAAATTGGTTCTTCAGGAGAATTTTTAAGCCCAGAAGTAATTCTCTACCCCATTTTTTTAAATTGGTCCCAACAGATCCTAAATGAGACCCAACATTTCGATCAAAACTATGTCCCCAAGGATTAATACCCCACTTAGCGCATGTTTGAATGTAATCATTTTGGGGGCCAATTCATTGTGGAACTTACATGAATTTACTATGAAAATCCTGGAGCCCAGCTGACCGCGAAACTCGTGCTTTGCATGGCCCACATATTCAGAGATTACCTGATGTTGGTAAACTTGAAATGTTACAAGTAGTAGCTGCAGATGTTTTCAGCCCGTGGGGGATATATTGGGATTGACTTCCGGCCATTCTCCATGGATCCCAACGGGGGAGATATCCCAGTTGATAGGGATCAGAAGTGCCAAAAGTCAGGATCTACAACTTCTACACCTTTGGGCGCGGGCGAAAGCTGCTCTGCCGAGAGGTCAGTGCCTATAGATCTGCAGCTTTCAAACTTTTGGCGTAAAGAATTTTGATTACTCTCTGGATTCCTCTTGTAATGTAACATAGAGATGGAAAATTATTTTTTTTAATAGGCAAATCATCTACAAATGTGCAATCTTCTGTAGCCATGTTAAATTACTGGAGGGTATTATGTCGGGTGATTTTAGAATTCCAGACAACACAGAAGCCCTGCTTCACAGCAACCACCGTCGGAGTTTAGCACCTGTTTCGCCATGGGCCATGCCCCATCACTTGAGGCTTTTTCTCGGTTTTTCTCCTCAGAGAGACCCAAAAATCGTTGGTTAATGTTGGTTACCCTCTGGTAAACTAACATAGCTATTGAACATGGCCCAGTCGAAATAGTTGATTTACCCATTAAAAATGGTTATTTTCCAATATTTTCCATAGTTTTGTGTATGTTTACCAGAGGGTACATGACACATGTCCCACATCCCATTCGCTCTCCGTTGCAGATCTGCGGGGGGATCGCACCAGGAGTGGAACCGGACAAGACCTTGCCGAGACGTGGCCGAGGTTGGAGGGTCTCCCCAAGCATCAAAATTCGAATCGAGGGACAGCTGAACATGGTATACCCTCTGGTGAACTAACATAGCAATGGAAAATGGCCATAGAAATAGTGGATTTTCCCATGAAAAATGGTGATTTTCCATTGCTATGTTAGTTCACCAGAGGGTAAAATGATAAGATCACTAAACCATCGTTTCGTTTGGGGAGTATAGAATCTAGAAGGGATGCTGAAAATTTCTTATTTAAGTATATATTTAAGTGATCTGTTATATGAACTACAACACCATTTTCAATCCTTTTACAATGTTATAGCTGTTGTTGGTAGTGTCAACCCCTGATTAGTAGATCCTGGTTGATTAATCAGGGGGATTACCACATATTACCATCAAACAGTGATACTGTGCTAGTAAAATGGTACTCCCCAACTAAAGAACTCAAGGGTTTATCGGCCAAGAGTTAGCATTATTTGTTTAGTTATTTGTTTTATAATGCCATATCGAACATGTTTGAGTATTTGGTGAATGAAGCGTGGTGAGTTGTTGGTGAGTAGCAAGATTTGACAAAGGATTTGATGAGATGAGTGGGATCCGACTGTACTCTTGTACATACCATACTGTAAATATTTGTGCTCTTTGGGATTCGAAGGTATTAATTGGCCAACGGCAAGTTAGTCAAGTAGCTGGTAAAACGAGTCGCACGCTACCAGTATCGAATTGTCTATGTGGTGCTTTGTTTTGGCTGTAGCCCACTCACAAATTTCCTTTTTGATGTGGTCATTTTTACCTGCCATTTGCACAATATTGGAGACAACGAATCCAATTATATATAATTATATATATATAACATTACGTATATAACCATCCAGTGATTGGATAGTTGTTTCCCCTATACCTCTGCATGATACCTTGCACGCGTATACACCGTAATACTACGGCCAGGCCCTGTGTGTTGCCCGGAAGTTTACAGGGACGTTGTGTGGGTAATACTACAGTATCCACAATTACAGATCGGCAACTGATCTATATACCTGGGGGGTTCTTTTTTAATGGGGATCGTCGTCACCGTGGGTTTCAATACTAAGTAAGTCATGGTCTTTCCTTGGAAAATGGGGGTACCCCGACGGAAACCGACGGACATCGCTAGTTCTTCCCCACGCATAGCCCACCAGGAGTCCAAGTATGTTAGCGGTTTGCTCATCACCTTAAAATCCTTTGCGCAGCGCCAAATCTCAGCGGCAAACGAGGGGATGATGGGAAAAACCACCGGAAAAGTGAAGAGATATGGTGGTCTAAGCAACAAGAAACAGGGGGGTTAACCAACAAAAGTCGTAGTATATATAATCAGATATAATATAACGGGAGACTCTTCTCATATAATATGATATAATGGGATACAATGGAAATATTCATAGATGGAGACTGTCAGCAACAAAAAAGGCACTTCTACTGTATCACTAGTGTGACAAAGGCATTAAGCGAGCATACCACATTTTATCAAATGTTCCATTTTTAAAGGAACCTTAAATAATTGAGGTTTTGCTGATTTGCCGCAGCCGGCAATAGCTACTCACCAGTTCACCAGATTTCTGCGAACTGACCAATGTCAGACATTTTCCCAGGAAAAGTGAGGGATTTGACATGCATATTTGCCTAGATAAGATATGTTCAATATACTTTTAACATCTTTTAACATCTTTTAACATGAGACATACCGGAACCCGGCATGTTATGTTTTTTCCCACTTTGATAGGTTCATTGCTCATAAGGCCCAGCTCACAGACTTGATCCGTGAGCATTTCATCTGGCTTCGAGTTTTGTGGCAGTTGTTTTTGTCTGGGTGAACTGGGATTCATGATTCACCTTTTTTTCTCCATGTGAACTTTCGTTAACTTTCGTAAACACTTTTGAGTGGCTTCACTTTAGTTAACTTTAACTTTAGTATTTAACTTTGAACTTTAACTTTCACATGTCTTCAGTGTTCTGACGTGTCGTTTTTTGAAGATCGTGACCAACCTGAGGCAGCTGGGTCCGCCAAAGACTCAGGCATTCCTCGCCTACTCCACGCCCCAGTGCCATGACAAAACAGAAACAGAAGTTGCCAGTTTTGTTCAAGAAACATTGGATTTGATGATGATTGATGATGATGATGATGATGATGATGATGGTGATGGTTATGGTGATGGTGATGGTGGTGGTGGTGATGATGATGGTGGTGATGATGATGGTGGTGATGGTGATGGTGGTGATGGTGATGGTGATGGTGGTGATGGTGATGGTGGTGATGGTGATGGTGATGGTGGTGAGGATGATGATGAAGGATGATGATGACGATGATGACGATGATGCCGATGGTGATGGTGATGTTGATGGTGATGATGATTGTGACGGTGGTGGTGATGATGATGATGATGATGATAGATGATAGATGATAGATGATGGATGATAGATGACGGATGATGATGATGATGATGATGATGATGATGATGATGATGGTGATGGTTATGGTGATGGTGATGGTGGTGGTGGTGATGATGATGGTGGTGATGGTGATGGTGATGGTGGTGAGGATGATGATGAAGGATGATGATGACGATGATGACGATGATGCCGATGGTGATGGTGATGTTGATGGTGATGATGATTGTGACGGTGGTGGTGATGATGATGATGATGATAGATGATAGATGATAGATGATGGATGATAGATGACGGATGATGATGATGATGATGATGATGATGATGATGGTGATGATGGTTATGGTGATGGTGATGGTGGTGGTGGTGATGATGATGGTGGTGATGGTGATGGTGGTGGTGGTGATGGATGATGGTGATGGTGATGATGACGATGATGACGATGATGCCGATGGTGATGGTGATGTTGATGGTGATGATGATTGTGACGGTGGTGGTGATGATGATGATGATGAGATGATAGATGATAGATGATGGATGATAGATGACGGATGATGATGATGATGATGATGATGATGATGATGGTGATGGTGATGGTTATGGTGATGGTGATGGTGGTGGTGGTGATGATGATGGTGGTGATGGTGATGGTGGTGGTGGTGATGATGATGGTGGTGATGGTGATGATGACGATGATGACGATGATGCCGATGGTGATGGTGATGTTGATGGTGATGATGATTGTGACGGTGGTGGTGATGATGATGATGATAGATGATAGATGATAGATGATAGATGATAGATGATGGATGATAGATGACGGATGATGATGATGATGATGATGGTGATGGTTTTGGTGATGGTGATGGTGGTGGTGGTGATGATGATGGTGGTGATGGTGATGGTGATGATGATGATGATGATGACCCATATGTTATTTCCCATTGGTTGACCCACCACTTTTAGGGAACCTAACGTACACCTTTCTTATGGTGGTACCCGCAGCAAATACAACCAACGGTTGTGACTTTAACAGCAGACATGGTCATTGAACCATTTTTTGTTCCCAGCAGAACATTGAGATACCAGTGGTGTACGTTCTGTAACTTGGCTGGCCATGCAAAACCCACCATTGATCATGATGTTTTTTTGAAAGATGAGAACATTGGCATTGCCCATCCAACCATCTTTGATGACCCTAGGGTACCAATTTCAGTCTTATACGGGTACAGCTCAAAGTTGTTGACCGTAGTTTGGACCGGACCAATACTGGACCAATTTTTGGGATCCATGGGTTCCAAGAATGCCTCAATGGCTTGATCATGCTTGACCCATCCCCACATACCCCGTTGTGTCTGCTCTTTTTCCTCGAATTGGATGAAGGGGAAATATAGAAGGACCACCATTTTCCTCGATTTTCAACAATTGAAAACTAAGTTTTGCCATAAATTATGTTAATTGTTCCTTAAACCCAAGTTATTTTTTTGGTTCAAACGTTGCGGAGGTACAAACTCCATTCCTTCGAGACCATCTCGGGGCGCCTCGGTGGGGTGGCCTTCGGAAGCTTCGGTGGGGTGGGTTGTGCTGCGGCTTTCGAGGTACCGCTTCGTGATCACTACGGACCCCTCGGTGCCTGACCAGCAGGAAGCGGGGGAGGGAATAGGGAACGCGGAGGATGGGGTGAAATTTTGACACATTGAATTGTCAAGCATCCAATTTTGGTACATATATATGTTCTATTCTGTTCTGGTACCAAAACCAAAATTTCTGGGTCCAGGCGCCTTAGATTCAAAGTTTTACAGTGTGACTTGGAAGGTGCCTGATTGGGTGGGACCATTTTGGTACCCGCTTTTTTTGTTCACATCCCATTTTTCGTATTGCTCGCAAGTGTCAAAAGTCAGCACCCCAATGAATGTCCTAATTCGTCCATTCTTAAATCTGGTATTGTTCATTGGGTAACTGTAAATACAGTACCACGGTGAATCAGAAAGTAGCAGGACCCGAACATGGGACAACACCTTTTTGGTTGGTTAGACTCAGTTCTAAACCCGATTGTTTTTACAGTGGGGCCCACATTTTTTTCCTCATTTTGGATGATTGAAAAACATGTTCACACGCCAAATGTTTCGCCAGGATTGTCTCAGACAAATCTACGAAATGTTCGTGGAGCACGTGATTAAAAATCCACTGTATCAATTGGGAGACGAACTCGACAACTGCACAGCCCGGGTGTCCAAGCGGGCAAAACTTGTGGCACTGGGATTTACAGATACCCTCCGGTACCCTCTGGTGAACTAACATAGCAATGGAAAATCACAATTTTTAATGGGAAATTCCACTATAAATGGCCATTTTAAATTGCTATGTTAGTTCACCAGACGGTAATCAAATTTGGCTGGGAAATCAACCATTTATAGATGGGTTTTCCAAGGAATCTTGGAACAGGATCATTTTTCATATTTTGGCCGAAGATTTTCAGCTGGAAGTACTACCGAACCCCCAAAATGGATTGTAAAGTTGGATGCCTGCAAATCATGAGGTATACACCATGGCAAATTGATTGGAGTGGAAAACCAGACCCCACGACAGCGGATTTTCCCCAAAAATCGTCTCGGGATAATGGGTTGAACCCCCTATCTTTGGTGGTGGGCTGTTCAATTTTTCACCCAGATAGGCAAATCAACAGGAACTTGGATGATACATCCAAAGAAAGAACAGTGTTTCCAGGATGTTGTGGATGATTTTTACCTCATAGTTTCATATCGTTTCCAAGTTTCCTATATCCGACATCTGCAACAAATACAATTAGATAGAGTTTGTTTCCGGATATTGCGGGATGTTTTTCTGAACCACTGCCCTCATAGTTCCTTGGGTTTTCGCACCCTCCGGTAATCAAACATGGCTAGCTGGAAACTCTCCGATCAAAATGGAGATTTCTAGCTGGGAACACCGGATTAATAACCCCCCCCCACCCAGAAGGTCAGAACTCTACCTTGTGGAGCCCCCCTTAAGCCCCTCTTAATAATAAGCACCTCTGAACCATAAAATTTTGGATATGGCTTACGTCAATGGCTGAAAGCTATGGGGGACATTGGGAATGAATAGGCAAATCCAAAGAAAAAACATTAGGGACATGGTGGTTGATTAATTAATCAGGGGCAAACCCTGATTATTATTAATGGGGGACATGGGCTCATGGGGGGTACCCTTTGGGAGCTATCCAAACTGATGATTTTTTATAAAGAATTTAATTAGAAATCGATCATTTGGGGAATAGTTGTTTTTTTCAAATTTTCAATGGTCAACAGTGATGGGTTCTGGTGTTCATGCGGTTTCAACTTAAACATATATCATAAGGAAACCATTTGAAACTTTTGGATAAAAAGAATGGATTCCAGCACTGGTGGTTTTTTAATCAGGGGTAGGCCAAAGTGTTTATTAATTTGGGGGGACCACCTTTTTTTTGAACGTACTTTTTTTTTTGGGCAGTGGTGGTTGATTAATCTGGAGGGGTTAATCAATCCTGACTTGACATTAGGATATTTTCCAGCCATCCACGTTTGATTACCGGAGGTTACATTCATTATATCATCCCATTATCATACATGATATATTATCAGCATTGACATCCGCTAACATAACATCATTGTATAGGATTAACATTTATATTCCCATCGTTTGTTGGTAAAATCCCTATCAGACACCACAGAATTCATTATATGATTCCCATTACTCAATACCTAAGCTCAATTAATTTCATATACCATCATTATTACATCAAATTACTCCACTAACATCTACTTACATGATCCGGAGGGTGAATCCCTTGACCCAGGTGTTTCGGTCCAAGTTACACAGCTTCCTGATGCGCCTTGGACACGCTTAGGGACCAGGTTTTGATTTTTGTAACTGGTGAAGGGTCGGTTAGTATATAACCATTATGTATAATTAACCATTGTATACCTTATAATACCTTATATAATCTATAATAATGGGTATATATAATAAAAAAATTCTTGCCATATTCGATATACCCATAATCTATATCCGTATTTTGTTCCATAATAAATTACATGAATCGGCAAATCACCACGGTAGATTACAAAAGTCGCGTATTTTCACCTTGAAATCCGTGTCCACATGGAACGATTCTCCAAAGGCTTGAACTGTGGGGCTGTCTCCAGCGATGAACGCCATTTGTGCTTGATGCAATCTCCAGTAATTCTCCAGTGCACAATGATTTACTTTAGCCCTATGGCTTTGGCTCAAGATTTTGCATTCTTCAACCCTAAAACGTTTCTATGATCACAATCGCCAAAATCCGCCACACGCCACAGCCATCCGATTGAATTACTCTCTGGTAGTTAAATTGCCAGCTAACATGGTTATTGTCCATAGCCCATAGCTATGTTAATTTACCAGATGCAAAAATCGTCGATGTCCGGGTTCCGGAACTCATCCCACGCGCCGCGCCAGGACACAGCCCTTCTTTGCCAGCAGCATCCCGGGCATCCCTTCATGACGCGAGAAAAATGTCACCAGGATCTGTTGACACCAGGATTTTTATAATATGGGTATGGGTCAAAATTAGATACCCCAAAATTATGGATGGTTAATACTAAACTAGACTAACATCTGTGGTCCCCTAGGTCTTCCATTTTGACCCACATCCATATGACACGATAGTCATTTCATATGGGGGTTTCCTAAAATGTTGGGGTACCCATATTTATCATCCAAAGTTAGACTATTTTAGTATTGAAACCCATGGTGACTTGGGGTACCCATATTTTAGGGATAGTCATAATTAATAATATAGCCATATGCTCCATGGTGCTGGAATATTTACCAACATTTGCCCTAAAAATCACCCAGTTTTGTAGGTAAATATACCAGCACCATGGAGCATATGGGATATATGCGACTGTATATTACCCTCTGGTAAACTAACATAGCAATGGAAAATCACCATTTTTAATAGGAAAATCCACTATAAATCACCATTTTCAATAGCTATGTTAAATTACCAGAGGGTAATGGTATATCATTGCCCAAGAACTTGAGACTCGCACCAGCATGGATCTTGATTTGCGGCTGTTTCTGGTCCAGTCCGGGGCAGAATGTCAAGGTCAGAAAACTGGTTGAAGTTTGAACAAAGACACCGTATGTACATACACAAAGGTACGTAATAACACATAATATTATACATAACACATACATATATCCATAATATACATATTAAGTAATTTGTATATATATATATACATAGATACATATGTATACATATACATAATATGTATTATATATATATATATATATACGTGCGGGAATATGCGCGTAGTACATATGTTTACAATCCGCTACAGTCCGTAGCTATATCTCTATCATTCTCTATCTATATATCTCTATGTTTGTATATATACATATATATCTGTATGCAATTAGACCCTTATTATATCGTATCGAATGTCCCATTATGGCGGCCCTTGAAACTTTGGGTGGCTTCATTGTGGCTATTGTTGTCGGTGCCTCAGTGTCCACGCGTCCGCGCAGATTGCTGTTGGATAGCCCTGTCGACAGTATCCAACGTTGTATCGCAGTAAGCAATTCCATCATGGAGAATACCCACTACAGTTACAGGCACTACCCATGATATATATATATATATAGATATATATATAGATATATATATATAGATATATAGATATATATAGATATATATAGATATATATAGATATATATAGATATATATATAGATATATATATATATTATTATATACATAATATATATATATATATACACATATTTGTATGTATACCCAATATTCTATCCCACCAAACCCATGACATCTCATTGTCGAGATACAGCACATGTGGATAGGCAAACACATATGCACACCCACCATGTACCCGGACAATGTAAATGCCCTTGTATCCAGGTGATGTACTCATTATATCCCCTCCAATATAGGTGATATCTTTACACATTTGCAAGCGCTCATGTCCTTATCCCTTGATTCGGGACGATGATCCTTAAATGACTTGGTGTTTTTAAGGCTGGGCAGATTTTTTTAGCTGTGGGTAACCAACCTGAACTCCTCGGAAGAACTTCCGTGCTTTCTTATTTGAGCAGTGTTCAGGGCTCCTGTTGGTTGATACTCTTTTGGTGGGAACATACTGTCCGAAAATTACTCTGGGGATCATATGTCATCATGAACTGGGAATCTCCGCCTTAAGCAACCAGTATTTCCATGGAATGACACTCAGGTGATATCCCAATGTTTGTTGGTCACACAAATGAAAAGAATATACTCTCGGGTAATCTAACCTGACACAGCGCTGGCAAAAGGAAATCCCCAAGTATAATAGTTATATAAATTCACCTTTTGAACGGGAGACAATTGCCACTTGTCTCGTGAATTGCCCCCCATTCATGAATTGAATGGCAATGTTTAACTGGCAACTTTGATTAACGCTTCATTGATTTCCTCATTTGTTCATTGTGGTTCCCTCATGTTCTACCTCTCTACCATTCTCTACCCATATCATGCCCACATCATATTATATGTATAGAATGATACAGATAGCTGTATGCTATATAAATGTCCACCATTTTCACCCCTCCATAGGCCCTGGCGGCCAGCACTGCTAGGCCTTCTTGTGCTTCTTCTCCATCACCTCCGTACAGCCCACCGAAGTGGCTCTGTCGTGCCTTGCCATCGATGGTTTGGACATGTCTGGACAAACCACTGTATTTGCACCTTAGCTCATTCATTCGTTTCATTTGTTTCGCAGCTAGAATCGTGACATTTCTCTTTTGTTAAAACTGGGGGGGATTCCCCCAGTCAAGTTTTTGTATACCCATTCAGCATTATTTAGCTAACTATTGGTCCAGACAGAAACCCCGAAAAAACGGAACAAAGTGGCTGACGTCCCACCATTCCCCGCCTAGATCATTCTGCTTTACAATGTTATATTTAGCATTATTTAGCTATTTCAAGCACCCGAGATCGGCCCGAAGTTCGACGCATTTTTTTTTGAGTGATCCAACTCGGCCTCCAAAGCCTCAGATTTTTGGGGTCATGGATTTCACCATCCAATGAAATCCAACTTTCCGCTCAAAAATGGTACCATCCAACCCAAAAAACTGATCAAATTATTGAAAAAAACGGGGCTGGTGATATCACCAGCCCCATGATAAACCATGATATCCCCAGCCCCATTTCCCCTATGAACCTCTGTCTGAGGTACAACTGGCTCTTGAGCCACGTCAGTAACGAGGTCATCGCAACACCAGGCAGGGTGATGTTTGATGTTTGGCTGAGGGATGGAGCTATCATTTCTACTGGTTTATCCCCATGGATAATAGATAAATCGATGATCATGGTAACATGCTATAAAATCTGGATTCCACTGTATTTTAGCGGATATGAGGGGTTTTGACTTCATTCGAAGTGTCAACAAGGGGCGAGAACTTCTGGACTTGCCAATGTCTGCAAAAAGAACACGTCATGAAATCCAAGAGCCCTCGATGGACCTATTGCTGGATCATGCTGCATCGATGTTCAAGAATGAGGAATCACCTACAGTAGCTGATTAAGCTGTATTAGGCAGTTAATGATGAGCATCATACATGGTCATTTCGACGAAGACAGTGTGCGATTTCGGAATGGAAAAACATATTTTCCATGGAAAAAAAGACATCTTTTGACGGCATCTAAATGTGTGTCCTTCGAGGCGATGTTGGGATCATATCATGATCTGTGAGGCCTGAAGTTCATTGGCCCCTTCAACACGCTCATCAGGTGGCTCCGACATGACCCTGGCGGATTGAGATTAGGGAACCAGCTACAGCATATAAATATACCATCTGGTTATTTAACATAGCCATGGAAAATCACCATTTTTAATAGGTAAACCCAGGTAAACCATCAATACATGTTTGATAATATCTTTCATAGATCAGTGGATTCTCTTTGCCCACTTAAAAAGCACATAAAAGCACATGATTCTTAATGATGGCATTATTTTTCGGAAAGCATGAGAAATTGATGGCTTCGTAAGTGAGGCTTGGAATATGTACGTGTACTTGGTCCAGAAAGGTACATCATTTGCAGCGGGATGTTCAGTGTCAATTTTTGATCAGGCAGATATAGGCTAAATGGCTAAAGGATGCTAAAGGGTCTTCAGACGGTAGCCTTTCACCAGCCTGACATGATGCGGTCAGACCTCTCCGAAATTCCCGAAGGTTTTTGCACCACTTGATGTAAGTGGCACGGACCTAGCAGTGGGGGCGTACCTAAGCAACAACTGATACAAGATGAAGCCCCCCCGGTTATAAGTTGGTTTATAAACACCATTAAATCCTCCATGAAATATGTAAGTCAACTGAGCCATCATTTTGGGGGCCTCAGCTTGTACGGGACCATTCCCAATCATTGCCATCACACATAACCATTGCAGGTATCCAAAGACGATCCAAACCTTAGAGTACGATGAAGTGCTGGCCCCGGACGATGATTGCAGAATGTTGCAGAGCTTGAAGCCAATGTATATACGATATATGGGGGTTTCCATGAATGGGGGGATACCGCGATACCCGAATAGCTGGATGGTTTATAATGGAAAATCCGAAAATCAAATGGATGATCTGGAGGTACCCTCATTTCAGGAAACCTCCATATAATATCATATAATCATATACGTAAGCGACAAAATTAGCGGAAGTATAATAGTAAAGTAGCAGGGAGTGGACTTGGGATGTTGAAATTTCTGTGAAAAGCTTCACAACCGATAGAGGACCACCCACTTGGCCATGTCCATTGTGAGTAGTTATATAATGTTATATATATATACATAGACACCATATCTAGATATACCATGCAACAAACACAAAAAGTTCTGGTGTTCAAGCAAAATCACGCTGCGACGTTGAATTTTTTGTTTGACCATCTGAACATTTGCTCACCAGGCCGCGCGTGATTTGCTCGATGGCAGAACTGCGGACGGGCCGGGTGAAGGGGTGGGGGTTGGAGGAGAATGCTGAGCCAGGCAGCTCCTGACTGAGTTAATTGATGTTGGAGTTCAAGGAAATGGATGTTGGACTTGCCCTGATGTTGGACTTAGAAGCTGAGGACAGTTGGTTATAACATGTTATAACTTATAACTCTGATCAGTTGTATGGGAGGTGTTGATTTATGAAACATTTGAGTGGCAATCCCGGGTGAGAATTGATCCCACATGGCCTTGGTGATGGTGTACAAGGAATCCGCTCCGCTGTGATCGAACATTCACGGACTTGGATTTATATAAGAAACAAACATCAGGAACAGCCATATTTTCCAGCAATATTTGAAGATCAAGACCTTCCAATCGATTCTCGAGAAAAGCAACAGAGGGGCCATACAGGACGGCTTGCCGTTGATTCTGGGTCTCTCCTTCCAATATCGGCTGATCACAGACCGCCGCTCGGTTTCAAAGTCAGCTAGGCTGGGCAAATTATGACGACTTCACTGGCCGACCACACTGTGACCACTGGTTCTGGTTAGGATAGTGAGGATAGTGATAGTGGTTGTGTATTGCCAGTCCTATCATTTGCGCTTCGAAATGTTCCTATCGGATTTCAAAGGGGTCATGAATGACTTATCCCGCTTGACAAAGCTGAGAGGATGCGCCGAGGTCTGCCGGACTTGTATTTCACCTACGAGAACAACTACGGAGACTACGAGCGCATCTACAAGCTCACAGGCACCGTGTTTTTTTTCGTGTGAACTCAGGGTGAGGTTGATTTTATATGATTTTATCACATTTTATCACTATTCTCCAAATCGTTTCACAACTTTCCATAACTTTCCTGCATCTCTTTGGGGGTTGCTATATGTTGCTATAATTGATACCAAAGCTGGTGCCATCCCTCTGCCCGAAGGGCACCTTTCGGAGCAGTTTCACTATGCACTTGCCAGGCATGCACATGATCACAGAGCTTGCGACCAAGTGCCGCGCTTAGCACCACCTGCTGTGGACAGATCTGAGTTTTTTGTTGGTGCCTGCAGGATTTCTAAAACGATGAGAAGCTACACGGGTCATGGAGGGGACGCTGACTATACATATGTTTACACACATGATATTACATACTGTACACAGTATTACATATTTGCACGGAATTGTTTTGCATCAGTATATCATGAATTCATGTTTTGGTTATCATTGATGCAAATTATGTATATACATATACATAATTGTACATATATAATCATATAATTATATATATATATGTATATCAGGTATGTATATGACTGTACATGTATACATGAACACACACAGACACGTATCGAATCTCAATGAATTCTTGAGATCTACCAACATGTAGCCGGTGGCGTCAAGGCCCATGGTGGACGACATAGCTTTTTCGAGTGGCTTGAGGTTCACTGCATATCAGTTCTTCAACGAGAAGCAAAAGATCGCGGAGGTGATGAGAGATAGCCTCAATCAGTACTTTTCGAAGGTGGGAACTGAACTGAAGATGGTAAAAGATGATTGGTGAGTTTAGTTTGGTTGTAATATGTTGTAAATTTCGCCACGGGACTTGAATCAGCAAAGATGGTAGGTCTGGGTGACCTGGTGATTGGTAAAGAGGGATTCACTTTTTAAGGTCAAAGATGTTCAAAGATCTTCAAACTTTGAGATGATGTTTCAATGATCACCATAAAATGATGCGGTTTTTTTCTTTCAAAACAAGATACATGTTAGATGAGTTTGATATATGTTGATAAACATCCATAACTTTTTCCCTTGAAAAAACATGTTTTGTTTCTGGAAATCCAGCCTGTGGTTCGCTCACATTTTCTCATCGCCGTCATCGGCCAGCACCTCTTTGCCACGGTGGAGTCCTTGCAAATCACAGAGGATGACCTGCCAGATGTGGCTTAGAAGATGTTCGAAATTGGCGGAGTTACCCTCTGGTTATTTAACATAGCCATGGAAAATCACCATTTTTAATAGGTAAACCATCTATAAATGGTCATTTTCAATAGCTATGTTAAATAACCAGAGGGTATGTCATTTAATACTGGTTGGTGGTTTGGAACATGGCTTTTATAGGCTTTTATGACTTTCCGTATATTGCGGAATAATGATCCCAACTGACTAATTAATATTTTTCAGAAGGGTTGAAACCACCAATGAGAATATCATTGAAGATCATTTATATTAGACGCTTTTTTCATATCATTTAATATTCATTTAATATCATATTTTTCTATATTCGACATAGTTCGATATCACAATAAATACATGTCAATCATATTGTATGTTGTTTTTAAAGTTATGCCTTTTTCAGATCTTCAGACATGTTGAACCCAGGGGATTCATCAGATGATTTGTATCCACTAAAAACATCTGATGAAAAGAGGTATATTAACTGTGTATGACATGGAAAACACGGCCAAAAATCTGGTTGAAGAAACCAATCAATGGCAGTAGCTACTCAATAATCTTGACTAATCTTTTTCCTCAGGTGAAAGTCCATGTACTGTATGACTGGGGTCTACCGACTCACCCTGTTAGAGCAAGTTATTTGGGGATCCATCAACGATTTTCCTGGGGCTTCAGACCTGGAGGGCTGATGTTTCACATTTTGGCTGACAAACACAGTGTGGCCACCCTTAAACTAGAGGGTCATGTTGAAATTGCAAGCAAGAACAAACTTGGCATATCACAATCATATCACATATATAACATATAATATCAATTAATATAATATAATATATAATATAAATTAATATAATATAATATATAATATAAATTAATATAATATAATATATAATATAAATTAATATAATATAATATATAATATAATATATTATTTATTATATATTATATAATATATGTAATATTTTTTATATTATATATTATATATATTATATATATTAATATATTATATATAATATGTAATATATATAATATATATATATATAATATAATATAAAAAATATATTATATATTATATATTATGTATTATGTATTATATATATATTATATATTATATATATATTTGTTTATATTATATATATTTGTTTATATTATATATATAGTATATTAAATATTATCTATTATATATTATCTATTATCTATAATATTTGATATAAAATAGAAAATATTTAATATATAATTTATAATATACAATATACAATATATATATAATATATAATAGATAATAGATAATATATTATATATAATACATATAATTATTTAATATGTAATATATAATATAATATATATAATATATATTACATAATATATAATATATAATATATGATATATAATGTATAATATATAATATATAATATACTGTATATTATATAATATACAATATACAATATATAATACATAATAGATAATAGATCATATATTATATATAATATAATATATATATATATATAATCATATAATTATACATCAACATCACCCCTCGACGTGACTCAAATTCACATGAGCAGTCGCCAACCCACCTTCCCTGAAGTGTTCATCACATGGTTTTCCATTCATAGTTTCTATTTGTCATCCCCAAAAATGGAATCAGAATCCCAATTGGCTAACATTCCAAGTGACAAATTACTTCGGAAACTTTCATAGTTTGGTGAAATTGAAGGTTTCTTTAAAAAAATCCTTACCCTTCAGTACACGAACACAGATATGCAAAGTAGAGCATGAATGTATATCATTTACGAATGGGACACCCTGGGTTTTCATGTCTATGTCAGGTTGCCTCAGGGATGTACATACATACATCTAGACATACATGGTTCAAAAAGAAATGATCTGGGAATTTTGCGAAGCTACACAAATCTGATTGCTACCTCAGGGTTCTGGAAATCAGATAATGATATTGGCATATTATATAAACCCATCAGATGATCTAACAACCAGATGTTAACCCTCAACCAATGTAAGTAATCCCATCCGCCTAATGTTAAACACCACCATTTTATGGTCCCAAATATTTTAGATTTACAATGTTGCAATGGTTTTACAATGGATTGGGCTTCGACTTCACACCGTATAACGGGTCGTTTCCTGGTTTTACAAGGCCTTCACACGCACAATCCTGACGGCAGCGACCAGCAAGCAGAATATCACCCGCATGTCGAAGGTGGCCACTGGAACAGTGCTTCGTATGTAGATATAACATATGTGTATATAATATATATATAAAAATAATACAGATGCCTGTATAGATGGATAGGATAAAACAAGGGATATATTTTACGATGGGATCGGATAAGTTGTTTGGTACGCTGGGATGTAGCTGGAGATAGGTCGACTGCCGACAGTTGATACTGCCGATCCGCACACCATTGGTGGGGCAGGGCTGCTGGTT